TAATACTATTACATCGAAATTAAAATTCGTAGTGGTACTTTAAAATTTGGAAAATTGTGTTTAAAGTAATTTTTGGCTCTTCCGTCGCAAAAGGTTACCGACCCTTGATCTAGATGACTATTCACAGATAGACTATTTATCTATTTAGATTAAATGAAAAGATACTTAAAATTATTTTTATTTAGATAAGATAACATATACAATTATTCTGATGTATATTGTTAAACTCATATTATATTATTTTATATTATAAAATTATCATTTTTTAGAAGCGAAGAATCTTATGGTTTTACAACGATGTTAATTTTTTTAAAAGTTAAAATTTTATTTAAGTGTGTTTACACTGTGCATAATAATACTAATCCAAAAGTTTCATCTAGCAACTTTTTAAATTTTTTAGGTTGGTAGGTTGGTTTTTAGATTGCCTACGATGGTACTTTAGATAGGTAGTTTTTTTCAATATCTTGTGTTTTTCATGAATAATTGCCGAAAAACGGAATAGAAACAGTAAAAATGCACTGTAAACGAGAATTTCACTTTTTAGATTTTAGTTTCTTAATCATAACTCCAAAAGGAATATAGTTAATTGATACTTGAACCTTTAAACCTATAACAGACATTTTTTCCATATTCAACAACATTAAAAAAAAAAAAAAATCAAACAATTTTGGTTTCAATATAGAACATAAAAAATACATCATATTTGAAAAATTGTTTGGAATACAATTTTTAGTTTGGATATTAAAACTTAAAAAATGAAAAATATCTTACTCATATACTCACCTAATGCTATTAAAAAATTTCAAAAATCGTTTGTCAGGATTTAATTTTATAAGCGTAAATTGTTAAACGACATTTATGAAATTACGGTTTTTATATCTATTTTCAACTATAAATGTTGATTAAATAATTGGTTCATCTAATTATAATGAAACTTTGGATATAGACAAGGCCAGTTTACACGCAACGATTTATTGTACGTTTTACCGAATACGACTAATCGCATCAAGTAAAACGGAGTGTGTGTACAGTACCTATATCGTTAGGTTTTTTATTACGCATTCATTTTATGCGAAGTTGAACGACAAGTCGTTACATGTAAATACAGGTTTTATGAATTGTAAAACTTTTCGTCCTTATTAGGTTTAATTCTTTCCTAAATTATATAGTTTTAATTACTTAATTTTATTATTTTTTTATATTTATAATGTATTATTGTATCATATTTAATCATACCATTTATCTATTAAATAATATAAAATTTGATTCGAGGGCTATTTTTTGTTTTCTTGCGAACATGTCTGATCTACGGAAATTCTATTGTACACATATTAGGGACATTATGAAAAAAACCACAACAGTGCTTCTTCCATATTGTCAAAAATCACTAAAATAACTGAAAATTAGTGAAGAGTAAAGAGAAATATAGTTAAAACTGGGATAGAAAACCTAGTAAAAATTTAACCGTGTAGACATTTTATAAAATGTATATTTTATTGTCTATTTTAGAAGTTCAGTAAAACGTACAATAAGTTGTTGCGGTAAACCGGCCTTAGAACAAAATGTTTTGAATATTTGGTTAAAAATACGTCTCTTTCGTCGAACAAAAAATTTTTAATTAAGATGAAAATATAAAGAACCTACCGATAATTAGACTAAAAATGATAAAATATATAAACAACAATTTTTATACTAAAACATTGCTCACAATTGTTTCACTAAAAAAACCAAGTTATCAATTCTTTAAAACTCAATACTCCCATAACCATTTTTCAATCCAAGAATCGAAGGGACGAAGGGCGAACTTTGGCCACCATTATCTAAACGGCTTTTTTATTTAAAAAATGCTATTTACGCATTGAGCATACAATATAACATGAGATGTCAAGCTATGAATTTGAAAATAAAAAGTTTACAACCATAAATTTCTAAATAATAAGTCTTCGTCTAGTTGTACATCAATTATAATTTCATAATTGTAACATTTTAAATAATTTTTAAACCAGAAGGAACGTTTCTTTTATGCCTCTTTTTCGCATTCATGATGCTATGCTATGTACGCTGCATTAATACCGAGAAGTATTCAATAATTTGTCATGATTTGTATTAACAGGCTTGAAGTCTACATAATGATAACGTAGTATGAACAGAAAAAAACCATGCACTTAACAAGGGCATGCGATTGATGAAAGGTTAATTTAATGTTGAAACACAAGTTGAATTGAAAATTGAAGATGAAACGCACATTAATATAGACATACTTGAAAAACACTTATTTTATCCAAACTAACTTAAATCAATGATATGACAATAAACTTTCGGTTAGGTTTATACGATACTATTTACATATCGGTAGGTTTTGAATTATTGAAGAAATTCTATTGCACTAAGTGAATTTCAATAATATAAGTTCAGATGATTAAAAAGAAAATCTGGCAAACAATAATATTATTTTCAATTGGTATAACTTAAGTCCTGATCCTGTAGTAATTGAGAAATGTAGTAAATATTAAAAAAATACACATGGACAAAATAAGACATTGCTTACATATAATATCTCATACATAACGACTAAAACGAAATTGTATCATATTTATATTTAAAACGTAATACAAGTAATATCAAACCAATTGATTTTGACTAAACAAAGATCCTTTTACTATACAAATATTGAAAATAGTACAAACATCTTATAAAAATTATGTATAAATTACAATGTATTTATAGTAGTCACTTTTACTTATGTGTTATTTAAAGAAAATGTTTTTATTTTTACAAAGTTTGTTATTCTACTTTGTTCATCTAACCATAAAAACTCAATTTCATATAGACTTATTTTATCGATATATTTTCACTGCTTAACAAAAGCCATCAATAGCTATAAAATAACAAGCCAGGCTCGTTGATCCAAAAATAAATGTTGACACACGAAATGAACCATACAAATGATTTTGAGAATTATAAAATACAAACAATATAGTATCAAACATAACGTGTATATAGTTCATCGTTATAGCAGGGGTAATCCAGAAATAATACGAGTATTGTCGTTTTATCTGTAGCATTCTGCTAAAACAATGTACTTATTAAAATGTCCTCGTCCTACGTATAAATGATACATTTAACTAAAATTAGATAATTAATATAAAGTATTTCCATCAGTAAAGTTTCCCACAAATAAATAAGTTGCGTACGCTAACAATTATGAACTACATAAAATGCTTTTTCAGCGTACGAACATATTTATTTGTCACATTTCTTAAAAGTGGTTCCACCATTTAACAAGTGGTAAAAACTTTCCTCGTATTCAAGAGAATTGTAGATTCAAGCAACAGTGATTACCAAAAAAGCTTTTATTCAGATATCGTAGTGGAAGTAAGACGAATTAATTTTAATTTTTGCAAGCTTTTGATTTGAGATATTTATATTATCTGACCTTCAAATTATATTTCCCACAACCATTTACGGGAGTAGTATTGTCGCGTTTGATTTCCATTGGGAAAAGATATTCATTAACATCAGGAGGTAAAAAATAAAAATAAAAATAAATGTACATTAAATCTCGGGGTAATAATATATAATTATGATTTAAAAAGTTACAGAAACAGAATAAATAGGCAAAAAAAATCTTTCATTGATTGAAAATTTAACGGAATAAAATAAAATTTCAATAAATAAAATCATAATATGTTTATAAGAAGTCGGTGAAATCAAATATGATTTAAGATAAATTACCGAGTAAAAGTATTATGCTGCTGGGTAAATTAAATACTTCTTTTTATACATATTTTAAGTTTAAATAAGAATAGAATTATTTGAATATAATGGAAAAATAAAATTAGTCAGATGTCAACCGCAAAGTATAAAAGCAAAAGCAAAAATAAAATAAAAAATCGTTGCGTGTATACGTTTTCACTCATAATTTGCGATGTGTACAAAGTAATAATGATAAATAATCATATATTATGTGCATATCATTTTCCAAAAACTCATTGTGTACATATAAATGTGCGTGAGAAATTGTAAACGGTTTTTTTAATTATTGTTAGAATAAATTACCCAGAAACTTGTATATGAGAGTTAATAGTTGAATAAAAAATGACAAAATTTGGTATAATGTTTATGCACGATATATTATTGTAAACTGTTATGTAATATAAATATAATAAACACAGAGCTATACATTTATTTATTTTTTTGTTTTTAAATAATATAGATTATTATATGGTGGTTGATGAAAAAATAAATAGTTTCAGTGTTTGTTAATAGTGAGCAGACAAATGTCAATATATACAATTTATATTGTGTGTACTTCATTAAAACTATTTTTACACCCTTGTTTTTTATAAAAAATTTTTTTATTATTACTCCGGTTAGTTAAACTGGTGGGGCCACCTCTGAGTACGATATTTTTACTCATAATAATTGAATACTACTGCTAAATATCAATTAGTAATTTTATTATGATATATGTATATGTGTACATAATTTTCTGTAGTTCGTTCACGGTTGGTTTCAGTTGGAACACTGTCGTTTCTGATAACAGATAACATAGAATGTATGTATATAAATATATACTTCATAAGGTCATAAAAGTTATGAAATATTTTTACACCAGAAATGATAATTTTTATTTATAGCCATAAGTTTTTCATTAATGTATAATAACACAAAATCATAAAAAAAAAAAAATCATCGGGGAACGACGACCGTATGCGGAGCGTGCAATTCATAAAAGTTTTTAGAGAAACCGCGTGGAGGACATTAAAATAATTTGCAAACCATTTCGATCGGAGTAAATTATTATTTATGGATTATTCGTCATAAAATGACACTGCTGATGGGTCAGCGATAAAATGTACAATAATTTATGTGTATTGCTCCGTTAATAACATAAATTAATAAATAGCAAGTATTGTGTTGTGAAATCGTACGCCGGTGGTGATGGGTGTAATCGTTTTTTGAAAAAAAAAAAAAAAGAGACCGCACATTTTACTTACCGTGCATTCGGACTCGCCGATGTAGCAGAAGTCTACGTTGTGGGACGTCACGGACCACAGATGATCATCGTTGGCGGCCTCTTCCGTCCAATCGGGCACGATCTTCAAGAGTTTTTCGTTGCCATCAGCTCCAGTAGCTCTGCGACACATCCATACAATAAATTATTAATCTTTCGGACTCGGTAAGACTTGCGTAATAGATAATAGATACGGGTGTAATACAATATCGTCAAATTACGCATAAACATGCATTTACATAGTAAATTATAAATGTAAATAATTATTATCATTATTAATTTTTTTTTTTTTTTAATTGACATTTTCACTTTAATCATAATAAATCTAATATTGATTCGTATAAACAAAACGAAATATAAAAGGGTGAAACTTCTACGGATCATAGTTTACAGCAAATTGTATTTGTTTTGGATTCTGTGTGATATTAAACTATTGCCGTAGCACAATACTGGCACGTACGGAAGAAATTCCGAATTATTGTACTACATATTATGCTGCATCGGTAAGGCATTCAGCCGATGGCCACCTGTGGCATTATTTTGGCCAGCTGCCTTACGAACGAATTCTTATATGTTATCGGTGCCAGCACTTGTTATGTTTCGTAGTAGAACAATTACTGCGAAGCTTTTATATTATACTTTTATATACATATATAAAAATATAAATATTTTCGCCTATAATTATGGGTATTTACGTGTAAATTAAAATCAACGTGACAGACTACAGATAATATTTGTAAATAAGTTATCGGCTAAATTGAATTAAGAACAAAAAAAAATTGAAACAATGTATTTTCGGGGTTCGAGAGTGAATATAATTTATGAGAGTAAATCTATAAAACTATATTTGCATACTTATGTAATTTCAGAAATTCTTTAAATATGATAATATTTTAATGCAATATTTATTTTTATTGATAACTTATTTTCTGTTTAGGTCTTCAAATGGATTTACAAGAAAAAATTTGGTGTAGATTTTGTATTTACACATTCAATTTACTTACTTTCTAAACTTTGAACATACTTGACATCAAGAAAGAAGATATTTTAAATTTTAATTAAATAATTGGAACCATTAAAATGAATCCATGTATATTTTTATAATTATATCATATATTATGCAAAGAGTAGATTTATTTTGTATTTATTATAAGTGTCTGAGTCAATTGTAATACATCAAAAACCAATTAATAACCTCAAGATTGTGTTTATATTTTTTATGAACTTTATCTACTATGCTCGATATGAAAAATTATAACATGTTCAAATAAAAGTGATTGTTATGAAAGTCTTTATTACATTAAACTGTGTGATTTTCGGTAGCGGCTCGTAGTAAATATTCTGGGGAAATTTAAATTATTTAACATAAATTCCATAAAACAACGAACAAGAAAAACCCTTTATTATACTTAATACTTAATTTAATATTTAATTAATATTTTTAACTTAATTTAATTGTAAACATTTTTTAAAAATAATTCAAATCTTCCATTTTTTTTTTACCTGCGAATTCGCAGATGACGGAGTACAGCTACTAACGATGGTCCGATGACACGGAAAATAATGTCTTGAACCCAGTTTAAATAGCGTCTATAATACGCGGATTATTTATATATATTTGAACAATAGAAAATTAAAATAACTATTCAACAAATTTTATAATATTTATTATAATTACATAGTATTATATTGTTTTGGCCGTTAGGTGATAACTATATAATAATATGTAAGTCACAGGACTGGGCACGAGATGCGCAAAGGCTTATTTTACTTTTTACTTGTCCAAGTTTAGAATGCTCAAAACCAATGAACCAATATATATAGAGAAGGATAATTTAAATATTTATAGAGTTAAGAATCCTAAGTCTCTTAAAATAGGAAAGAAAATATTTTAGTCTATATTTATTTCATAAATAGATACATAAAAGCTCGTCCAAACGATATGAATCCCAAATTTATTTGATCAAATGAAAGCTGTATAAAGTGTATAAATTATGTATGCACATACTTATGTTCTTAACATAATGGATTTATTGAAGAGAAAATTTTTAATAATCAAAATGTAAATTTAACCTTGCTTGAATAAATATTGTATTTTAACGGACATAATAATAGTATAGTATAATAATAGTACGAGTATTTTAGTAAGATATCTACATTACATTTAATTTCTCCATCGGATGATAAAATTACTTAAAAAATCAAATAGATTCTTACTGTTATACCGTACAATAATTCTCAATTAAGCGCATAATTATGTCCAAGGTTATTATTGTTAAAATATTTGTATTATTCTTAACTAGGAAACTTATCTAAGAATATTTCAAATCATATAAATTATACCATGAACTGTGTAGAGTATAAAATCAAGTGTTTTATGTATGGACATTCATTAATTTTCAATTTGATTGATGGTATTCATTAATTATACTTGAAGTTTAATTAATATTCAATTTTTTTGGTTACTATAATAACAATTGTAGTTTCATACATAATTTACGAATTCAATATTTTACTATACGATTTTTTATTATTATTGTTATTATTTTTTGATTTGATAACTTTTATTAAATCGTATATATATATATATATATATATATATATATATATATACAAAAATATACGTAGTTTAGAAGCTTTTAAACGTATTCACCAATAAAACCAAGTGCTATACTTTTGTATATGTCTTAGTTTTTTCACATACTTCAAACTGATAAATGTATTAAATAGCATATAAATAAAATTGTACACAAATAAGGTCAACGTCAAGTCAAACATAAAATCGGTGTTTACTGGTGTAATTCCTTGTAATCTTGCTTGATTTTATCCATTTAAATTGTTGTGGAAAATACAGCACAAAGGGCATTTCCCGAAAAAAAACGTGTGAATTTTGCGAAAATTTTTCATTTTCACATACAACGTGTATTTACGTACATGCAGCACGGTCGCTAAGAGAAAGAAAACAAAAACTCGCAATTCATATAAAGTCTGTACTTTTCGTAATATTACTGCGGTCAAAACTGTAATTGCTCATGACGAAAATGCTAAATCGTTTAATTCAAAGAATAATCTTTTGAATCTTCGACGTTTACCACAAAAAATTAAATGTCACTAATATATTCACTTAAATTTATTATTATTTACAAATATAATATTATGTACAAATTATACACGCTAAATTATCTTGTATAATTTGGTTGCCGGAAAAAGATGTTTTAAGATCATATAGTTTATTTAGTAACCCGATGAGTTTATTTTTTATTGTAGTGAAAATGGATATGGAGTCATAATTAATAGTTCAGCCTCAAAACCATAGGCGTGTTTACGAGAGGAGCCGGGTGGGCACTGACCCCCCCCATGGCGGAATTTGCCACTAACAAAACTGCGCCAGGATAGTAATGCGATTTGTATTCATTACCTACCGATAGTTTCAGTACAGCACAGCACAGTGGTAAAATGTACGTATTTTTATTTGAGTTTTAAATGTATTTTATTATTCATGTCTAAAAAAATATAAGTCTCATAATTTAAAAATTTGTTGTGCCCCCTCGGCCACCAAAGTCTGAACACGCCTATGCTTAAAACTATATATAAAAAAAAATTGATTACCTATTTATGAGGAATTTTTCTTTAAATTTCATTCATCATAATTAATATATTCACGAATAACTAAAATATCATATAAAGTGAATGCGATACAATTTTTTTTTCAAAATCCATCGCACAGATTTTAATACAACTTCTTGCATCTATGATGGTAATGAATGTATAATATTAGAATAATACATTTTGTTATAACATTTCGTTCATTTTTTAAGTATAGTGGTCTAACGTAACCATCGGGCTTTCCAACTCAGACGACTATTTTAAACGGCCCGTTTTAACTTTATTTTTAAATACAGTGAATTGAAACTATTAATAACAAAATTACAAACGCCAATACAAAATATAATTTTGTAGTTGAATCTGAGTGTAAAGTTGTTGAGATTAATAGGACTTCAGTTTAATGTACGTACGCTGCGAGTTGAATAAAGTAAACACATTTCATGTTTCGTTAAATAAGATATTGATTCATTTTGATGTAATTTCTCTTGCTTCCTGATGAAATTTAATGATACCCGCTGGGATTTAAATTTGTTTAGTAATAAAATATACACGAAAGGATTTTGTTAAATTTCATAATTTTTAACTTCTTTATTTTGGGTTTATATTTTATTCTTTATATGCACGTGTGTAAAACGTCCAAATTTTAATAATTTAAATTCTATGATCGTGTGATTCTTTGAGTTCTGACTAATAATATAGTTGATTTTTCTGAAAATATAAATAGTTTTACAGTGTGGTAAACATCACGCATTTTCGCGATTTAGTGCTTTGATCGTTTTGCAAAAAAAAAGAGAAAATAATGAGAATGTCATGTAAAATCAGATAATAATTGTGTGAAATCGCAAGGGAAAGAATTAAGATTTAGCAGAAAAATAATACGAATACCTCATTTGTCCTCGGAGTTTGTTTTATTTATTCTTTTAATAAGTAAAGTAAAATTAACAATATTTACAACTGTACTTTATACTTACAACCCAAAACATACATGGTATCTACAACCCTAGAGTGTTTAAGTGTTTAAAATTAATAAGCCATCTTAAGTACTATTTCGTTAGGATAATTTTAGTTTTAATTTCATACAGTCTCTTGCAACGTTTTCCTAATTGTTCTACAATTAATGCGACTCCGGACGTTCTGTTTTCTTAAAAAAAAATTACGTATACTTATTATTAGCATTTTAATCGTTTTAATTAGTAGGTATACAAACAAAGGTTAACAATGTATGCACTTAATTTCTAGTACCTGACAAACCTAATAAACACCTGAGTTAAAAATTAATAAATTTCAAACGATAAATTCGGCGGCCTAAGTCGTAGTTTTTATTTCTTTTTTTATTTCTTTTTTCTTTTATCAATTTTAGTTTCAGGTTATTTTTTTTTTTTTTATCAAATACCGAGGATGATTGATCGTTTCACCATCTACTTTTTCTCATTGTCATGTTTTAACGTCATTAACTTTTTTCCCTTTTCTTTCATTTTTTGCATTTCTTAATGGTTTATTTTTTTAACCTCTAACG